GAATGTCCCCGTCTCACCCCACATAGAACTCGGAAGTATGAACGCTCTAGTGTCAGCGCGAGCTGCGTAACGGAACTGACGACTTTTGCGTTCTGCGCGCCTTATCGGCCCTTATCAATCGTTATCAGTTTCTGGCACCCACCAACAATGTCCCCGTCCCACCCCACATAACACTTGTAAGTATGGTTGCTCTGGTGTCAACGCGAGCCAGGCAACGGAATCGACGACTTTTGCGTTCTAGCGCATCTTATCAGCCATTATCAGTTGCTATCGCTTCCAATGTACCACCAATGTCCCGGGACCGCCCCACATAAGACTTGTAAGTATAGACGCTCTTTTACCAATATGAACGGCAAAACGAAATTGGCGATGCTCGCTTTCTAGCCCCTCTTATCAGCTATTATCAGTCGTTATCAGTTCCTATCACGTACCACTTGTGTCCCCATCCCACCCCCTATAACATATGTAAGAACCACTGCGCTATCGTTACTGTGACTCGAGCTATGAATTTCCGTCAAACATACACACACACCACCACAGACACACGCTAGCCGCTTATAACACTGAGTCCCATAATACGTCCATCTCGGAAAATTCCGCAAATCTCAAAAATATAGATGTTTCGAAAAATGTCGTCAATGTTACAATGTCTCACATATAAATGCGGAATTGCTTATGAACATCAATTTTCTATTTAAGTGTCCCTAGGATTTTTTTCTACAATAATTTTTGTCTAAAAGGCCACTGTCGCCGACGTCCCAAAATTATACGTCCATCTCACGTTTATCGACTACTTTTCACTTTTGTCTACCACGAAGTTATTTTTATTGTAATAACACTTCAGCTTCTTTAAAGCAACAATCCAGGAACGAATTCGCGGGTAAGGACCACCTATAATGACGTTGCAGGTGAGAAGTTGGTCAATGGAGAAAGAAAAAGTAGAAAAAAACGTCGGGCAGGGGCTTAGACAGGGACTCCCCTGCCGTTTAGGGAGATGTGTGTTGGACGAGTTGTCCGAACCTGCCCGTAGTACATGCGCTCCAGTTGACTGCTGGCAAATAGCCATGCATGCTTGCAAATACATAACTATTTGCCAGCAATCGAAATTGAAGCGCTTCAATTGGGTTCTTATGGAATCGACCTCATACAGCGCGGCGGTCCCGCAACGACCGCTAGTCGAGCAAGCGCTCTGCACAGCGAATGTTGGGCGATCCGCCTCTTTATGGGTGATCCGCCCCCTCCAAGAGGACTTCGACCCCTTCCAGCGCATTTTAGAGGTAGGTTTTGAAATTAAAGACATTTCCTATAAACTTTAGTTGGGCTGGGGCATGTTTTGACCGCCTAATGACCAAGTAGTTGAAACCCTGCCTGGACTGTTGCTTTAAGGACTGCATAATAAAAACGGCTGTTGGATTTTGAAGAAGGTTAGGTTGTCGCAAAAATTGTGGAACAACGCATTCACGCCAGATTTGGACCAAATTCACGCCAAGCTAAAGAACTTCTTCAGGGGTTTTACATGATATGGAGTTCAGAAGAGCTTTAAGGTCTCTCATTACTTTTCGAACGAAACAAAGGCCGTGTCACAAAAGAAACATCCACTTTCATCCAACGGTGCTCTGTCATCGAATCTTCTTGAGAACTTTATGCCTCAACAACTTTTGTTTCATGCGTGTAAAGGAATCCCAAGATCATTCTTGATTAGTAAATGTGAAAGGCATTCATTTGTGGCAAGGAATCGTGGCGAAAACTGGGCTGATTCTTGCATGAAGGTGCAGCCGAGCCGACCGAGGCAAGGTTCGTTTTTGCTTGCCATGCATAAGTGCTTCTTTGTCTTTTTTTCACCATTTTCCTTCTTCTAGTAGTGCTTTACTGAGAAAAAAGCCACTGTGGGAAAAGGTAAACGTGAGAACAAAAACAAACAAATGCTAAAACATATCGAGCAAAAGGGAACCTGACTTCAGTCGGCTCGGCTGCACCTTCATGCAGAAATCAGCCCAGTTTCGCCACGATTCCTTGCCACAAAATGAACGTCTTTCACATTTACTAATCAAGAATGATCTTGGGATTCCTTCACACGCGTGAAACAAAAGTTGGTTGAGGCATTAAGTTCTGAAGAAGATTCGATGACAGAGCACCGTTGGATGAAAGTGGATGTTTCTTTTGTGACACGGCCTTGATTTCGTTCGAAAAGTGAATGAGAGACCCTTAAAGCTCTTCTGAACTCCATATCATGTGAAACCCTCGTATTGAAGAACTAAGTTCTTCTAGCTTGGCGTGAATTTGGTCCAAATCTGGCGTGAATGCGTTGTTCCACAAATTTTTGCGACAAGCTAACCTTCTTCAAAATCCAACAGCCGTTTTTATTATGCAGTCCCCTTGAGAAGTGAAGTGTTGCTACAATGAAAAAGTTTCGTGGAACAAAAGTGAAAAGTAGTCGATAAACGTGAGGTGGACGTATAATTTTGGGACGTCGGCAGAGTGGCCTTTTAGACAAAAATTATTGGAAAAAAATCCTAGGATCTTAAATAGGAAATTGATGTTCATAAGCAATTCCGCATTTATATATGATACATTGTCACATTGAAGACTTTTTTCGAAACATCTATATTGGTGAGATTTTGGGAAATTTTTAGGTGGACGTATAATTATGGGACGCAGTGTATAGGTGGAATCCTTCTAAGAGAATTTCTGCTATTTATCCTGGTGCACTCTCATCTTCGATTCGTAGTGAGAATTTGGAGCACCAAGCTATGGTTTTCTTTGAGCTCCTAAAAATGGCTTCGATGCTCATGGTAGAGCCATCAGGCGCGTATAAAAAGAAAGTCTGTACCGAGTAGAAACTCAAACTGTAACTCTAATTACCATACACCGGACAAGTGCTACCATCGTTGCTGGATGGATAAAAAAATTCAACTGTAAGGAGACTTCCGAGGGGTGTCCTATGATTTTGCAACGACTACAAAACTAAAAAAAAAATTGTCTAAAAATACGGAAAACTATTCGGATGATCTGGCTACTTGTTTGTATAGGTTTTTTATAGAGGCGGTTCTGATTCTACCAGTTGCGATAGACGGCTTTTTCTAGAAGCCGAGATATTCATATTTTTGGGGGTGTCCTATGATTTTGCAACGCACTGTATTAGAAGAGCTTCCATAAAGCTTCTCATATCAAGCCTTATCTCCAGTGTTAACGAAAAACGTGGCTCATCTATACGCGAGAGAGTGTTAGGAGCATTCAAGTAGCGCAACTACCACACCCATGATTTTAGGACCAAATAGTGTTACCCCCCCCCCCAGCGACTTATCGATGTCAGACATTTTTGTAGGGATAGAACTTTCTGAAGTAGTCGCTCCCGTGGATAGAGGTGTAGACCTCTCTGCAGATTCATGCCACCTTCGCCCTGAATTGCGTCACTAAAACACTTGGCGCGAGGGAATGATCAATTGTAAATGCTTCATCCTCTTATTACATTGATGCCGATGTCACTTCACAATTTCCTTCCTCGCCGCGGGTACGAGAGCTGGTACGCTCGAAAGCCAAAGTCGCGATGCAGCGATGACTGCTTACCATGTTTTGCATAGGTTCATAACCACATTTGAACACATAAGTACTACAAAGAGTGGGTCGCAGCGTCACCTCTAGGAAGAAGGTTGGGGTTGTAGAAACTTTTTATTTCGCCTAAACGCGACGGATGACCGTATTTCGGGGCCATCTCTGAGGAAACCTCCCCGGAAAATTCTCGCATTCTTTCCAACATCAATATATCAGTTGTGGCTGCTGAGACAATTTACAAAGTTCCAAACACGATAATTGGCTCCCGAACAGAAACAAAGTCACGAAAACCACTCTATGTACAGTCGAAGGCAGGTCGCGCGGCGCAAAAAAGGGGGGGGGGGGCATGGAAAGAAGTGCGCTTTGGGACGGCTACGTGTTAGGTGACGCAAGGGAAGAATCCGGTTGAAGCGTTCGATTTTAGTGCATAGAATAGATGCAGTAGAAGTGTGAGATGTTATTGCAATAAGTCAAAAGGTCGGAAAGAGTTTCTAGTGACAGAACTCAATGAACCAAGTGGAAGCTTTCCGCCAATAGCATTTGTGACAGATGTCCGGCGGGAATTTGAACGCGTAGCAGTCCTTCTCGTTTTTCGAATGGATTACCAAGGCAATTGCAGTTTTTCTATTATTTTCGTTCTTGCCTGAACAGCGGAGCTTAAGCCAGTGATTTCTTGCCATGCAGATAGGATCATGGTTCTCCGAGAAGGAATACCTATAATGATCTTCTGTACAGATAAGTAAATCTGGATGACTTTCGACGAGAAGTTCGCTATTCACCCTTCTCGCAGACGTGCACAAGTGCCCACCGGTCAAGAATTCCGTACCTTCAGACAATCACAAACTATCATATTCATATACACCAGTTGTTTGTCTGTCGTTCCTCATTTTGCAAGTGTACCCCGATACTTAGTAATCGTTTTCTTCAAAATTCACATTAGGAGGGCGGTTCAAGTGTGGAATGGGTAGAACATGAGCTATTCCATAAAAGGACTATTCTAGTTCTGAGAAACTTCGCCAGTGGCAGGACACGCCGTCCAATTGAGGAAATTTCAGTAAAAACTGCCGCATTCTGTGTTCAGAAAGATCCAGTGACGATAAGAAGAAAATGGATTAGGGCTTGGTGCGGAATAATTGCCGACAAAAATGTATAGCAGCGCTCTAGATGGGCTGATACAAGAACAACGAAGCAATGCCTCCTCAAATTTACATGAAAAGTCGAGTGCATTTCGTACCTCGATGAGGTTGATTAGTGTCTCATGTTAGACCCTTCACTACCCGGACCGTTTAAAGTTTCTGCTTCATGAGCTTGAAACAAGGAACCCACAAAAAATAATATTTATCTAGATGTGCTAATGAAACATATATACAGGTATGTACAATAAAACTAGAGATCAAAAACCGGCTACAAGCATACCTGCACTTTTTTGAACGAAAACGATAACCCGTCTATGCAAGACCGATAACGTCTTCTTGATTCAGACGTATTCGGTGAGTTTCTGTTGTTTTTCTGACACTTGATGGAGACACTGACGTCGACGACAAAACAGAAGAAGAAGACCGAACGGCAGAAACTACGAGGCATGCGGCTATGGTGAAGATATTCGGGACGAAGAGCGAATTCGAAGTTATGAACGGGAAGCGAGGGTTCGATGAGAACACGGGCTTCTGTAGGATGCGTCTCGTCCGATCAGGTCGTAGTTGATCACTCGAACCACGTATTCGCACTGTTGACCGGGAAAAGTCACTTCTGCGAAATTCACGTTCTAAAACGACAACAGTTTAACGACTGAAGTTAAGCAAGAAATCCGGCTAGGACCTACCGCTTTTATATTCACGGTTTCCTTCCTGAGTCTGCAACCATTGTTTCGCGAAAGCGCATGGTAGATGATCTGGTAGAAGAGAATGTTTTGTGAATCAGCTGAGGGTGTCCAGCTGATGAGACCTGTTCCATTCGGTCGGACGACGATGGCCAAATCGGACACTGGCTCAGGAGCTGAAGAGTGTCAATGAGCACAGGATCTTGGACAGAATTTAGGAGAGTTCTCAGCAACTCACCGCACTGAAGGCTTCCGCGACCGTGGATGTCTCTGCATGGCAGCGATTTGAAGTTGGTGGTGACCGCTTTGCTTGTTTGGAGTTTGTCAGCAGAGACGGCAGCTATTGCGATAGTGTAGTCAACGTCGAATTCGAGATGAGGTAGAAGGATTGAGGGAGAGGAATCCTGAAAGAAAAAGGTATAGGCGCGAGTAGAACAACACCTCTGAGGCTCTGAACTGACCAATACAATGTCACGACTGATTTGAGTTGAACTATTGCTGAGCTGAAGCTTGTAGTAGCATGAGTCCTGTGCGCTTCGGGGCCATTCGAGCTGGGCTATAACACCGCGATCGGAGTTGTAGCCATTTTTCAATGTGAGCGGTCCGGCTGGTGCTTTTAACGTAGTACTTGCAATCTCCGTCCAAGGGCTAGAGATGGTCTCGCCTAGACGGCCAGTTGGCCCCACAGCAGTCACCATGAAGCGATACTGCACACCAGGAACCAGTCCTTTCACCTTGATGAAGGTATCGGGTTCAACCTGAATACGATCAGCTCAAAAATGTCAACCGATTTGATTTCTTGATGAGAAAGGGGCAAAAACGTACCGAAGCCGTGATCCACTGCGTCTCATCCCTGTTACCAATGGCTTGGTTTCGCTGTCTCCACTGGACGACATATCTTAACAGAATGGCATTTAACCAAATACAACAAAGCGCTAAGAGATCCTAGATCTAACCTTGTAGGGCCAGCTGGCCTAAGAAGTGAAATACTGACGAACGCTTCAACAGTTTCTCCATATTCATCATCCACTATGGGATTTTGACAAAGCATTTGTATTGAGGACATAACAGTCGAGCCGGCCTTCGCTAAAAGAGTCGCTTTATGAGTCTCTTCAAAGTGCCACCGCTTGGGGCATTTCCTGAGGGTTGACCCTTGTTCTATGCAGATAAGATAACGGACCACTGTCGGCACTGCTCTCGGCCCAGAACCTTAGGCCATTCTGAAGTGGAGAACTGGCAGGTCCATGCTGGCCGCGTCCACGTAGCCGGCGATGCTGATGGCATCCAGATTCGCACTGAAACAGCGTCACTGAGTTGCAGAATGGCAAATCTGCTTTCAAAAGGTTCCGTAGATAAAGCAGGAACGGGATACCTTATTAAGATTCATTTCTTCATAATATTAGGAACGACGCCGAGCTAACCCATCTCAAAAATGTCAAGGATAACCCGGAGTTTCGCCCATTTCCTGGCAAGGTTACGTCGCTGTCGCAAATTGCGCAGCCCAATAACAAAGAATCGCTGGTAACTCACCGCTTCACAATCTGGGTTTCGAGTGTCCAGGAACTCTTCAGCTGATCCATCAAGGAGAACTCGAGTGGACAACACACCGTACTGCAAAAAGCAAGATATTTTTGGCCAAAATCTATTGATGCATCGACACACTCACCTTTTCCGTGCATTTGGCTTGGCATTGTGCCAACCGGAAATAGTGCGCATAGTCGATCTGAATATACGGCAATACGATGAACCCCGATGTCGTTTGCAGCAGAACTAGCAGAAGGTAAAGATGCAGCATAGTTCTCTGAAATAGCGGATGTACTGACATGGCGTTAAATCTTCGTCTTCAGCTTGCGATTATTATAACCACGGAACGCGTGAGAGAATAAGTCGATAAGAGCTCTAGTGCACTTAAGGGCACAGACGAGGGTGGAGTTGCGTGCTAAGTACCGCCGTTCACTTCTGACACGCTCAATCCATTTGAAGATAGCAAAACAAGCTAAAGTTCTGAATTATTCTAGGAAAAGCGGTGCAGGAGTGTGCCTGCAAGCTTTCGCACTTTGTATGGGCTCCGACGTCGGTAAAATTGTCATGAAGGATTGCTGGATCCAGCAGTAATGGGCTCAATCTCCAAACCTTTGCTGCAGTTGAAATACGACTTGAGCGACTTTGAACGCAGAGATGGCTTATCCTCCTCAGGGCTCGGCAAGGAAGCAGGGCAAAGGGAGAATGGAGATAGGAAGAATACTTTCCTCCTGAGCTTTATTTGTTACTCAGACTTACTCAAGGACAGCACTGTTGGAGAACAACGAGAAGAATAAAGCGGACGGGGAGGATGAGGAGGAACGAGGCGTACAAAGATGTACAAAATTAGTAACTTAGGTGAGTCATTCGTGATCCTCTCTTTACTGCATTTTAGTGAGGTAATGCAAACAGCTGAAGCACCAAAAAAGTCAGCGCTGATTCCCTAAGTTCCACCTCCAGTTTAGCCCATTGATTCC